GTGTGTGGGAGTATGGTTGTGTTTGTGAGATGAAGTTTCTATTCTGCAGTTAGAAGTAATGAATTGATTTTACATAGAGCACAAGGATTAGATATTTAAAATACTAGATAGTTTTTTCAAGAAAAGAATGAATTTGTTATCCTGCATGTATATTTCTATAAAGCTTGTCTGATAAAGACCACCAGGAACAAAACCTTGTGTTTATGATACAATAAAGCCAGAATTGGGGGATGATGCACAGATAAAAGCTTATCAACAGAAATCTGGGTCAAACACAGGAGAAGAGGGTTATGCTGTTATTGGGAACAGGAGTGAGGGTAAGTGGGAGTTTATGAAGTGACATTTGATAGGCTGTAATTAAAGCAGCGGTATTTGACATCAGGCTTGAGTAAGAAGCAAGTGCAGGCCCTGTTTCCTTGAAATGGAACGTTGTGTCCAAGACTCGTTAGTTTTAGTTGTGCGCACATGGATGCGTTTTCTTGTGTCAAATACTCAGACCTCCAGGCAGAAATGGAATGTTTCGGTCTTAGCTGTAGGATTGGGTCAAGACAGCACGTTGGGTGAGGTGGCTCGACACCGGTAATCCAGACTTTGGGAGGTTGAGGCGGGTAGATCACCTGAGGTAAGGAGTTGAGATAGCCTAGAAACATGGTGAAATCCCTGTCTCTACTAAAAAAATACAATCAAATTAGCTGGGGTTATGGGGTGGGCGCCTGTATCACCAGCTCTGGAGGCTGAACCGGGAGGTGGAGGTTGCTGTGAGGCAGACTATGCCACTGACTCAGCCTGGGCGATACAGTGAGACTCCATTCCAAAAAACAAACAAACAAACAAATAACAAACAAAAAAACAGCTATTTTAATTACACAAAATGTTTTTCTTAAAATAGTAAGTAGACAGGAGCATTCAAACATACAAGGCACCACCAAGTTGAGCATAAGAGTCCCCATGCTAGTGTATTAGTCATTTTCATGTTGCTGTAAAGACATACGAGACTAGAAGAAAAGAGATTTAATGGATGGGGGGGGGGTCCTGCGAAGGCAAGGAGGAGCAAGTCACACTTTTGCATGGATGGCACAGCAAAGAGAGAGCTTGTGCAAGAGAACACATCCCGTTTTTTAAAAACCATAGATCTCCTGAGACTTACTATCATAAGACAGCAGAATAAAACCCCATCGTGATTCAATCACCTCCAACCAGGTTCCTGTTATGATATGTGGGAATTGTGGGAGTTACAATTCAAGATGAGATTTGGATGGGGACACAGCCAAACCATATCACTAAGGTTTAGACAGGCTCAAAATAATAATAACTAGGACTTATACAGCATTTACTGTGTACCATATACTGCTCTAATTGTTGTACCTCTATTAGCTCACTTAATCTTCATAATAGCCCCATAAGGTAATTATTATTTTTATCATCCTCATCATTTTTCCAATGAGGAAAATGAGGCATCTCTTTCCCTAGGCACTGTGAATGCAAAGATTTCCCATGTCCGGATATTGGAAAGGGCTCACCACACTCCACAGAGCATACTCATACACACGTGGGGCTTTTATGTAAAGGCCATGGAAACGATGCAGCAAGAGAAAAAGAGCACAGGCAAGCAGTGGGAGTCTGACAATCATCCCATGAGCAAGTTCCCCAAGGTGGTTACACAAGGATCCGACCAGACTCTATCTCAGGGATTGAACCACCAAGATCTGTGCATGGAATCTAGGCTTTGGGAGAGCTCAAAGCTATAAAATCAACAGTGGGCTTCATATACCCCTCTCTCCACGTATCAAAGGCACGCTGCCTAACCAATTAGATCACTAGAAAACCTTTAGTGAAGAAATTGACTCTTGGAGTCGCCAGAGTTTAGCACTTTAAACACCACATTATTCTCACTGCCCTTATCTTGGCCAAGAGTCAGAATTCAGACATCCAGGGGTCCCTAGAGATAAAGGGTGTGCTTTTCCCTACTTCTTTCTTCCCCTGCTACTGCTAATCCACATATATCTCTTCCCTGGACTCCTTATAATCCATGTTCATTAATCATTTGACTAATTAATTGATTTACAGATACAGCAGGTCCTCAAGTAATGTAATTACATACAATGTTGTTTTGTTATAACATTAATGAGAAAAAAATAGATTCCTCTCTATAGCCACTGTCTACATGGATTTTACATGTTCTTTTCACGACTGTGTGGGTTTCTCCAGTTTTCTCCTATATCCCAAAGAAGTGCCTGTTAGGTGGGCTACTGTGTCTAAATGGTCCCAGTCAGAGTGAGTGTGGGAGTGT